AGGCCGGCCAGGGCGTGCAGGGCCGCGGCCGGGTGGTCGGGGCAGAGGGTGGCGAGGAAGGCCGAGGCCTGCGCCCCGGTCAGGGAGACCACCGCCATGCCGTCCCAGTGGATGGCCGGGATCTGGCTGTCCCCGCGGCACCAGGCCTCCAGGGTGGCCACGATGGGCGCGCCCCGAGCCTCGGCCAGGGCCGCGCGCACGCGCCTCACTGCCGAGGGGGCGTGGCAGCTGAAGGCCGCCAGGTAGAAGGCGGTGGCCAGTGGGGGCTCCCCCAGGGCCAGGTGCTGGTCCCCCTTCCGGCAGAGGCAGGTCACGAGCTCCTGGGCGGACATCACGCCTGTTCCCCGCACGGCCTGCGTCCGGTCCTCACGGCCACCTGGGTGGAGGCGCGTGGTCAGTGCCCTCCCGGGCTCACCCCTGCCCGTTTCCCGGCAGCCTCCACGCCCCTCTCCACCAGGGCAGTCAGGGCCCGGGGCGCTTGCTCAGCAGGCCGCTCAGGGGGGCTGGGGTGCGGCCAGTTTCCTCCTCGGCAGAACGGGGTCCCGCCCCTCCCCTGCCCAGCGCGGACGCTGTGGACACCAGACCCCCGGGACCCGGGAGCTGGGCGGCCTGAGCGGTCAAGGCGCCTTTCCTTCTGCCCAGCGTCCTGCCACCTTCTCGGCCCTCGGGGCCTCCCGGACCCGCCAGCCTCGGGGCCCCACCTCTGCCCAGATCCTTCCCGGGCAACGCAGGGGTGGGGCGGGGTGTGCGGGGTGAGGGGCATCCGCCTGGCTCTTTCTGGGGGTGGGGAGCCTCAGTGGCGCCAGCCTGGGGTCAGTCTGGAGGCCTGGACTGGGGGTGCCCCCGCTGCTCCCCCTTCTCTCCCCAAACCTTCCCGAGAACTAGCTACTCGCAGCTCTCTCTCCCGGGCCCCCAGGGCCTGCAAACGCGCCCGCACCCACACATGCCCTCTCGCAGACACCCACCAGGCACAGCCGCGCCCGCCTGGCCGGAGGGAAGGCGCTGCCCTGGCGGCTCCCGCGGCCCCACAGCGGCCCCAGTCCTGCAGCGGTGTCTCCCGGGAGAGCGTCAACACCCAAGGCGGGCGGCTCGGGGGCGCCCCCGCGCGGACCCAAGCGGGGGCGCAGGAGGAGGAGCCGGAGGAGAGGCGGGCGCGGCGCTGGGCGCTGCGGAGAAGCGGGGTGCCGGGCTTGGCGCAGCTGCCAGCTCCCAGGCAACCCTCACCTGGCCCCTCATGCCCGCGGGAGGGGCAGGAGGGCGGGGGCCGCCGAGCCCTGCCAGCCGCCGAGCGCCCTCGGGCTGCTCTGTCCGGCCGGCCGGGGTCGCTGGCCCTCGGGGGCCTCTGTCGGTCCCCGCCTCCTCCCGTGGCATTGGAGGGCCGGGCGGGCGCGGAGGCGCCCGCACCCCGTCCCCGCCCCG